GGGTATGGGCGTGTCTTTGTGCGTATGTGGGTTTCCTAATGTGTCTGATGCACGAGACGACTCACATAATTTGCCAGAATTGCATGCGCTAATCGCCAAAATCGCACCAAAGTTCGGCATATACCTAAGCGTTTTTGGGGAACAGAATACGAACCAAAGAAGTGACATACTTTTCTGATACTTCGAAAAGAAGTAGCGAATTCCTCGAAATAGAGAGCGAATTGTATACGGTTGTGGGATCACAATTGTCTAAATAAGTTCTCATTAATTATTTCAATGCAACAAGATCCACACTGTTCTCTATAAATACGCATTGATGGGTCCCAATGGCATCAGCCACACGCGAAAAAAATAACAATCAACAAGAAATATTCCCGATCCAGCACAATAAAGTCAGACACCATCGCTTCCATCCCACAAGTGTGTCTATCCTATGGGAAGAACAGGCGCGTTCTTATAAAATTCATCCTAAACCCAGGCCATGAAACATAAGGATTACAATCTTAATCCAAAAATTGTATAAGCTCACCATCGCAGTTATAGATGTTCGTCTGCCCTCCATAATTGTCGCACCATTCAGACGTCAGATAAAAAACGAATGCAAATCGTCTATTCTCGACCTAAGCAGTTGTCGATGTGAATGGGAACATGGCTTGAAAACGTAAAAACTGAATTAAGGAGGGACAAACCTGGTCGGAATGTGGTAGAAGGCAGTCAGTGGTTCCGTAACAACTTCCAGTGGCATCCACTTGAGGTAAAAGTTCGATTCCACTCGTATTCGCCAACCATTCTCTCATCTCGCCACAAAGAAATTCCCTAAATATTGGAGCTACAAAACCACTGCTGGTGTCTGGTTTTACGAAATTCAAAATTTGTAAAAGAGCAGCATAAAAGAGACCAAATGTTTTACCGAAAAGCGCGGATAGTTGGGTACTCCAGTGGATCGATCGACTTCAAGTCAGGGGTTTGATAGAGAGAGTACAAGTCGTTCTCTTTACGATTCCATCCTTTGTATTTTACGAGTTCTTTATGAAGACGATTCAGCAACTCTGGTTTGATGTTCAGAAAATCACGCAGCTGCCAATGAGGAAATGGTTCTTTATCTGAATACATACAGGTTTTTTGAAAACAATGGCATTCAACAAAAATGTGATGTGTTGCTGTGGAAGCAGTAATACTTTCGGGATTTTTGTAAAACTTTATAAAATTCCCAAAATTTTAGTCTTTACGGCTTGCTGTATTTCGCTGTAGCTGCCGCTTGAGAAAATTTCAGAGTACAGAAAATAATGAGGGGTTGCAACGGAACCTCAGTATTGGCAAAAAGGCTCCCTTCTTTGTAGAACTGCGTGCTTTAGCAAGCTCCTTTTCTGGGATCACACCATTTCTCTGCTTTCGATATTGGTATTGTGCCGTACCCAGTATGCATGCCTCGTCTGGGAGGTTATGATCTCACTTAAGTGTTTTCGAGGGTTCTCTTGTTTCTTCTCCACTTTCAGCCTACTCCGCATATCGTCACTGTGAAGCGCTCTTATTACCAGTTTTTACTCAGGACTTGCCTTTAAGGTGTTTAACCTAGCTCGCCCAATTAACACTGTGCTCTCAAGTGTAAATCTGGTTGCATCTTACCAAATACCCATTTTCAAGCGAGTCAACTTCGGTAAATGTCCAGGAATGGCTGAGAGGTACCAATATTTTTTTGTGAATAAGCTTTCTGTCCGCAAGCGCTCTCATCGA